GAAAGTACCAACATTCGAACTACGAAGGCAAGGATGCAAAGATTGGTGGCTTATAGAACACACACCAATCACGAAAAAACAAAAGCTAGACTAAGAGGCAAACCTTGAAGAAGAGAGTTTCTCATTGTCTAAAAGTTCACCTAACCAAGCTAGATGACCACGGGCTACGTATGAATGTCTATGATCATTAAGAATTAAGAATGACACTTTGAGCTATGAGAAAGAAAGGTTTTCTCTTTAAGTTGCCTTAAGGCTAATTCACGGAGCAATTTAAAGGAATAGAAAAATAATGAGTTAATGGTTTTGATATTATTAAACGCCCACCAATTATGTTTTAGGAAGAAAAAAAAATCAAAAATGCTAAGAAAAATGTGGTGCTGAAATGTAAACCTCAAAGATACATTATAAGGGCTTATGAATTTTCAGGCACAGCCCTATACATACACGATCTGTGAAACCTTCAAAACACTTCTCTTTAAAATTTAAGCAAATCAATACATTTTTGTAATAGGTAAAATGTCGTCAGAATTGGCCGCCTTCTCCATGAACTTGGATATTACCATACCAATAGCAAAGAAGAGAGGCCACACTGATACTTTGATGGGACCGTCCTGTTGTTTTTGGATACGATTATAATTGATCCCTGACACTACTAAATGACCAACAACACAAAACAATAAGACCGTTTCTGTGAAACTTCCAAAGATTATGTTGTAGCGACGTGGTGGATAGTAGAACCAAGGTATAGGCCACTTGCATCGGAAACGAGCGTTATGGGCTCGGATTTTGTAGGTGAGGTCAAGGATGGAGAGGAAAACAGAGAGAACTGACATTACTAAGGAGATTCTTGCAAAGTAAGGCTTGCGAATGAAAGATAGCTGGTCTGCAACTGCTGATGCCATCTCCAGGAGCAAATTGATGACGAGGAGGAATGTCATTCCAGTGGAATACCGACTTTTACCTTTTCCGCACTTGTTAAATGATGATGATTCATATTCTAGTCTGCGCTTTACTTGTTCCCACTCTTCTTCCTTCTTCCCACGTAAAGATGAACCCACCAAACGTAGACCCGATGGGAGGTTACCAGAAAGCTCTGTTACTGTTTTAGCAAGCTCTTTAAAATCATCAGGTGCAAAGCTCTGTCTAAAAGCATATCTACACAAGATCTCGAGAGCTTCTTCACTAGATGGAAAATCCACATGGTATGTATTATCAATACCATGTTGCCGCAAGAGCTCTTGGTCTTTTGTGGTCACAATAATCCTGCTTCCAGGACCAAACCATGCAGTTTCATTAGCTAAAGCCTCTAATTGCTTTAGATCATCCACATCATCAAGAATGATAAGAACTTTCAGGTTGCATAGCCTTTCTCGTATCGCACCTAAATTAAATATCATGATTCCGTTTTGATTTAAAATCTTTGAGAGAAGTTGCTCTTGTAATCGCAGCTTCAAACCATAGTCGTCAAGACCACCACTATTAGAGCTTCCCTTAAGATTCTCCATAAAACAAGTGAGTTGAAACCTATTAGAGAGTCGGCAATGTAAAGCTCTGGCAATGGTAGTCTTACCAACACCCGCAGGACCATAAATTCCAACAATCATAGCTCCATCCTTCGACTCTAACTTCAGTAAAGACTCAATTTTATGCAAGTGCGCTTCAATCCCCACCATGTCTTCAAAATCCCTATTGGGTGTAACATTTAGTTTGTTTGAAATATCCTTAACAATTTTGTCAATCATATCCGTTTCACTGCCCCTGAAAGAGAGAAACAGAAACAAGAAAAAACCACTCTACTCTTTATCAAATAGTCACGTGGAATATTGGACTAACAAAGAATATAAATTGACGAAGGAAGAAAAAAAAGAACAAACCCTTTTAGGAAATCTTCTTCTCCTCCTGCTGCTATGTTGCCAACTTGTGTCAACGCTTGGCTCCATCTTCCCCTCTCCTCCTTTGTTGTACGAGCACAGGTTTCGTTGAAAACTTCTCCAAATTCTCCGGTTTGTTTCCGCACGTCAGATTGATCTACTCCATAGAAGATCGGTATCACTAATTGCCCCAAATCTTCCCTACACTTGAAAATCTCAACCAGTTCATTCAAACACCAACTCGAAGAAGCATAGTTCTTCGAGAACACTACGATCGAGATTCTCGATTCTCTAATCCCTTGTATGAGAGCAGGGCCAAGGCTATGGCTTCCCTTGATCCCTTGTATATCGAACACCGTAATCCCATTGTAGCTAAACTGTGTGCGAAAATGACTTAGAAAGCTTTGACGGACGTCTGGTCTGTGGAAGCTCGCAAATACGTGGTATCTCCAGATGCGAGCTGAAGAAGTAGAAGAATAAAAGGCCATAGCGAGAGAGAAAATTTGAGCAACTGATAGATAATACGAAAATCAATTAAGTCTATGGATGAGAGTCTCATCATGAGACTTATACGATTCAAAAAGCGTCTTGTTAATTGAAAAATCAATGCCAGCTACACCAAGTCACCAAGTATGGTGAAATACATACAACCTTCCGTATGGAAATGTGTTCTAAACTACATAAACTATTATATAATATATAGTGACATACACTAAGAACATACAAAATTATATATTTTTGTAGTTAGACAAAAATAAACACAAGTTTTTAAAGTGTTGGTAAAAAATCTAGTTGAAAATATATTCAATAAATTTCAATAATTTAGAGTAAAATACATAAACAATACATATATTACACTTTTTCTTCTTAAAATATTTTTACGTGTGCATTCGGTACTATCCTTAC